GTATATAGGCTATTCCAAACACTAAGATACAATTCTTATAAAGCAAATTTTTGTATATCATATTCTCACCTTATTTCTGTTCCTTTCCTTAAAATTAATCCCAACAAATGGAATTACTGCATCAAAAGATAGAATGATGTTTCAAATCTTTTGGTATTATTCGCTGCCAAATTGCCTTCCAGAAATATTACTACACCCAGTTACCACATAGCAGTGGTAACTTGTTTCATGGCAAATAGATGGGGAAAAATGGAAACAGTGATAGACTTTATTTTCGTGGGCTCTAAAGTCACTGTGGACAGTGACTGCAGCCATCAAAAGATGCTTGCTCCTTGGAAGAAAAGCTATGGCAAACTTAGACAGTATGTTTAAAAGCAGAGACATCACTTTGACGACAAAGGTGCTTCTAGTCAAAGCTATGGTTTTTCCAGTAGTCATGTATGGATGTGAGAGTTGGACTATAAAGTAAGCTGAGCACCAAAGAATTGATGCTTTTGAACTGTGGTGTTGGAGAAGACTCTTGGGAGTGCTTTGGATTGTAAGGAGATCCAACCAGTCCATCCTGAAGGAAATCAACTCTGAATATTCATTGGAAGGAGTGATACTGAAGCTCCAATACTTTGGTCACCTGATGTGAAGAGCTGACTCATCTGAAAAGACCCTGATGCTGGGAAAGATTGAGGGCAGGAGGAGAAGGAGGCAACAGAGAATGAGATGGTTGGATGGCATCATCAACTCAATGGAAATGAGTTTGAGCAAACTTGGGGAGATGGTGAAGGACAGGGAAGCCTGGCATGCTGCAGTCCATGGGGTAGCAAAGAGGTGGACATGACTGAGCGACTGAACAACAACAATATTGTTCTTATTCTAAAAAATATTTGCTAATATTAAGCCATAAATGACATCTCGTTTTCCCATTTAGTTTTGTTCTAACTTAGATTCGTTCTTTGAAAGGATCCTGATGAGCTTCAGTCAGTTCAGTTCAGTTCAGTTGCTCAGTTGTGTCTTTGATCATCCTATCCCCGTACTTAAGGTGTCTGTTCTGTTAACAATTCCTAGAAAACCTTTCATAGACTCTGGAGAGTTTCTTTTGGCCACTTTAAGTGGATGCCCAGCTTTTTCAAGGTAGTTTTTTCTTGTATAAACTTGTAGGTTTTAATTTTGATATTAAGGACCAATAGTTTTTATTAATTAACTGTGTTAATATTTTCCATCATTATTCTTTGCTGGCCTCAAGGAGTTCATTTAGAAACCACAATGATGGTAAACCTTAATAATGAATTAAAAGCAGGGGACTAGGATGTACTTCTGTACCACTTTTGTTGTTTAAAATAAGAGGTTTTTCTATAGTTGCATGAGTAATATCCCACTTGTAATGAGGACATAAATCTGGCACTGTTACCAGAACACCGCATTTGGAATCAACTCCCATCAGGTTAGGATCCCGGGGTGATTCATAGTTATCATTTGTGTATGGCCTTGGGCAAGCTTCTCAGTCCCTCGGGGTCTGTCTTCAACTGTCAAATTGGAATAAAAATGCCTATCTCATAGGACTGTTGAAGAAATTAAATGAGTTGCCTTTTTTCTTTTTTTTTAAGAATTCAACATTTGAACAATTTTAAGAAATTTGAGATTTTTGAAACAAAGTTTAAGAATTTTTATCAATTTTTGAGATTTTATGTTGAGAATTTAACGAGATGCTGCTCACAGTTTCTTTGAGAAACTGCCATTTGAGTCTGAGTTGGGCTAACCACTGAACTCACCTGCTGGTAATTACTTGTGACTACCTTGGGCAATGAAGAGATGTTCTCAGAGTGAACTAAAGCTTATACATCAGTGACTGGCATGGTCAGCAACCCCAGTTTAGTCTGTTCAAGTGCATCTGTGAATCTTGTAAAGTCAGGGCATCTTTCCATAGAAATAACCAGACTGAAGTGTCAACTTTTTGAAAAGGCAATTTCTTTCCTTTTTTTTTTTTTACTTTAAAAAAAATTTATTTTAATTGGAGCTTAATTACTTTACAATATTGTAGTGGTTTTTGCCATACATTGACATGANACTTCCAAAACTATGTTGAATAGTAGTGGTGAGAGTGGGCACCCTTGTCTTGTTCCTGACTTTAGGGGAAATGCTTTCAATTTCTCACCATTGAGGATAATGTTTTCTGTGGGTTTATCATATATGGCTTTTATTATGTTGAGGTATGTTCCTTCTATGCCTGCTTTCTGGAGGGTTTTTATCATAAATGAATGTTGAATTTTGTCAAATGCTTTCTGTGCATCTATTGAGATAATCGTATGGTTTTTATCTTTCAATTTGTTAATGTGGTGTATCACATTGATTGAGTTGCAAATATTGAAGAATCCTTGCATCCCTGGGATAAAGCCCCCTTGGTCATGATGTATGATCTTTTTAATGTTGTTGGATTCTGTTTGCTAGCATTTTGTTGAGAATTTTTGAAGTGGTAATTTCTAAAGAGACTTTCAATTGCTTAGCAACTCTCGTAGAGGTGCTACAGACTTGTTACTGTCCTGAAACCGTCTGCTGGCAACTGGCATGCATCTGCTCTACACAGCATCTCTCAGCTCTGGAAAAAAGATGCTGACAATGTCAGCAAATGGATTTCACCTTAACAGGTTAGATTGGGAGGACACTGTTCATCTCTTACAACAGGGGTCCCCAGCCTCTGGGATCTGATACCTGATGAGCTGAGGTGGAGCTGATGTAATAATAGAAATAAAGTGCACAATAAATGTGCTTGAATCATCCTGAAACCATCCTCTCCCTCGTCGCCTCCCCAGTCTGTGGAAAAATTATCTTCAATGAAACCAGTCCCTGGTGCCAAAAAGTTTGGGGACCAGTGTAACACTGATTATTCAGACTGTTCTCTCTAGTAAGAAAATGTGTGTTTCAGTATCCCTTAGAGTTTGGGTGGTGTATATCTCTTGCAATTTTAAAGGCTATATTATGCATTTTACCCAAAAGGGAGTGTGCTATAAGGCTTGCACAACTTCTACCTGTTCTGTTAATTGTCAGTGTTAGCATTTTTTGGATGCATGTGGCCATTGCCCTTGCTGTGAGCAGAGCATAATACTATTTATTTTACTCACTCTGTGTCTAGATGGAGAGGTAACCAGTGTAACAACCCAGCTTTACTGTATGCTGCGGAACTGATAAGCAAGCAAGAGCCAACATGCAAAGCCACTTACAAAAGTGAGGCTGGAGGGTCCAGGAATCAAACTAGTGTGTTGTTTTATACATACAAATATCTTTATAGATCTATGTCATTAAGGGCTATAAAGCTTAAGAAAGAAAAACGCTGCAAACCTCTTCATTCTAATATTTCTATTTTTGGTGTATTTCCCTTAAGTCTCTTTCTGAGTATATTCACATGTGAGCACTGCACTCTTTTGACTCTAGTGTGTTCCACTCTTCACATTTAGCTATCACAAGTTCTTTCTCCCCATCTGCATAGTCCTCATTTATTTTTATTGGTTCCATCAAATGATACACCACCATTTATTAGACTACTTCTGCAGTGTTGCATGGTTTTTTTTTTAACTACATTGTCACTAATAACTACTATTGCATTAAGTATTTCTATAGACAGAAACTTTTTCTTCTTTTGAACTATTTCTTTGGTATAACCTTAAGGATAAGATTGTTAGATCATAGGCTGTGAATGTTTTATAATTCTATTTTTCATGTCTGTAATTGACTTTCTTATTTGCATAAAAGTAAAATCTGTTCCCTCCACCCAACACAAGCATCTCAAGCAAGAGTTTTATTTTTATCAAGCATTTCAGGTGTAATATTTCCTGAGAATGTTTTATATGGGAAAATGAAAGAAAGGAACACACTGTTTCCTTTTTCATAATATGAACCATCAACTCTCAAGTTGAGGCCTATGTGCCAAAACCTATGCCCTTCTGGTTTTCTTTCTGATATTGTATGAAGTGACCCATATCTCACTTCAGCGTAAAAGACAGTTGATGAGAAAGACAAAGCTCTTGTTCTTTAGGTGAGTGATTCGTTGGTTGATTGCCTAGAGTTTTCCACTTGGGAGCAAATTCCTTCTGTGGTTTCCAGAGCTTGAAGAGACATTAGTTTGCTTTTCAATTTATATGACCATTCTACTGAATCCAGTGCGCAGCACTCTGCAATTGTGATAGCTCTGATACATAACTTCACATTTGGAATGTAAAGTGCAACCATTCTTAATAGTTTGGCTTAATGGCCACTCTTTTCTTTCCCCTATGGTTTCTTGAATATTACTTTTTTTAAGCAGACAGCCATTCTAATGCCACCACCTTCTCCATTTAACATACTCTCTGCAGTGAAAATCCTTTTAAAAACAACTATAGTCCCTTGGAAAGCAAATCACTCCATAGGAAAAAACATTGATCTATGGAAAAAAATGACCCAATGAGTGCTAGTTTGAAATTTTTGTTGTTTTTTTTCTTCTCCTCTAAGAAAAGTGAGCATGATGAATAAGAAAATGCATGAGTAAGTGATCTGAGCCATGAGGGAAAGCTGTTGTGACCTTCAGAATGGCTGTTTGTAAGGTCCCTGGCAGACCATCACTTGTGTATTTGTTTTACTTGAATGACTAGATTTTGAATTAAAAAAAAAAACAACCCTTGTTTTATAGTTTTTAAACCTTATGAAATTTCAGGTCACTTCTAATTCCTTTTCGTCTTTCACCACTTTGGCTCATCCCAGGAACCATACCCTTCCTGAATCGCTCGCTCCTCAGTGCTATCTTCCAAGATGAGTAAATTAAGAGTTCTTACTGTCAGCTCTTGGGGTAGAGGGGCAGCATCCCTGATTCTGTTACCAGGGAAACCAGTATCGGCTGGGTGCAAAAGGTAAAAGGTTCAAACATTTTATTTGAAATAATGAAATAACCAAACCCAAACTCCCCCTCCCCCCACCACCTATTTAATGTCAATTTCCATGGAAACAGGAACAGAAAAGCCAGCAACTGACAGTAAACTCACGTGTCTCCCGGTGGCAGACATCCTTTTGATATCCTCAGATGTCAATTTGCACAATCCCATGATGTATCCTTGGGCTGGAAAGACTTTTATTTGAAGAGTGAATAAAATAGAATTCACTCAGCCAAGATGTCTGTTCTAACCTTTTATCAAACAAATGATAACTCAGGAATATGGTTCAACTGGTTATTATTGCTTTCCATCATTGCCACTTTGACAATGTGCACATCTTGTCTACCATGTTTATCTTCCTAATTTCTGGACTAATGCTTAGCAGCAATGATAACTATCTCCTAGTGGCTGTCATTTATTTTATCAGCTATTTTGACACTCAGAATATATGAGCTTTTCATACCTTCAGTACATAGAATGTAAATCCTGGTGTTGTTTTTAGCCTTTGCCTATACGTTTGGTCATGCATACCTTCATGCTCAGTCGCTGCCATCATGTCTGACTCTTTGAGAACCCATGGGCTGTAGCCTGCCAGGCTCCTCTGTCCATGGGATTCTCTAGGCAAAAATGCTGGAGTGGGTTGCCATGCCCTCCTCCGGGAGATCTTCCTGACTCAGGGATTGAACCTGTGTCTCCTGCATTGCAGGCGGATTGTTTACTACTGAGCTACCTGGGAAGTGTACATTTGGTCATATTATCTACTAATTCATACCCGTTTTAGATGTTTTCCCTTCTAAAAGATGTTGGCTCTTAGGATGAAGTAGTTGGAAATCTTAACATACACATCTAAATAATTGAAAAGTTCTAAGTTGTCCCTAGCATCTGTGGAGCTGAATCCCCCACAAGTAAGGGCAATACTGTTTTTAAAAATGCCTCATCATGGCTGCAGTTCGATTGAACATTTCACCAGAGAATGGTTACTTTTTAGTAATGTGAAAAAATTAGTAGAAGGGACTCTTTAAAAGGAACAGAGTGCTTCAGAGTGATTTCAGCTCTCATTGTTGCTGTGTAGCAATCCTGGGTCACTTACAATGTGAGTTTTTGCCTCTCCAATCGGCTTTTGTTAAAAATATGCTTCAGGGTCCTGTCAACTCCAGGCTTCTCTACAAACATTGGTGGTGGTAGTGGTGGTGTAGTCACTGCGAACATTAGACTTACTTTGTTTAGATTAGGTCGACTAGATGTTCACTATTTAAGTTTTAAACCTCAACAGATTTTGTACTCGGTAAGTATCCATTTCTACCTATTAATGGCGGTATGAAATGTAAACTTAAAATTCTTTGGCACAAACCTGCCTGATTTATAAAATGTATCTGCGGAGCAGTAACCCTCTATGACAAGTTTTGCCGGAGACCACTCGGCCCTCATCAGCCACATTCCTCTCAGCATCCATGGCTAGGGGAAGCTTTCTTTCCTGTTAGCCACAACTCAACACGTTTTCTTAGGGTGAAGTGTTGAAGAGTTGGTTGGTTGTTGGTTGAATGACTCACACAAGAAAAGTGCTGAAATGGATTTTGGTGCTGGCCCTCCTCCCCCTCCTGAGGGCAGAGAAACATGAAGATAAATCACCAGTTAGCCAATATTTTCAAAATCTTACATTAAACTTACCATTTTCTCTGCTCCTCCTCCTCTTCTTCCCTCAAATCGACTGTGCAGTGGGCGAGGATGACATCCCACCTGGCTTGTCTAAAGCCCTTTAGATGCAAGTACAACTTCTTTGAGGTAGACTGGGAGATACAGAGATGTGTATAAATAAGTCTTTGATTTGATTTAAACAGAAATTTCATTGTGTGTAGTGTGTGGTTCCTTATGTCGGCTCTTGACAGCCGTTCAAAAGCAGGTTATTAAATATCTTGCCTTGAGTAAGTGCAAGAACTTTTGGAATAGCTTCTTGGCACAGTCACAAAAATATCAGTGACTATCCTGTTAGAATGGGAAAATTTTCTCCCGGAGTTTCCATAGGCTATTTCACAAGATTTTCCTGTCATCACTGTCTGTATTCTGAACAACTCTAGTTTACGACTGCTTTGGTTTTAGGAATTACAATTCTATACTTTGCCAGTGATTGAAATCCTTAGAGTCATTTGGATCCCCATGTCAAAGATTCTGGCATGTGAGGAAAATCATAGAAGAAATGAATGCTGATCAAACTCTAGTGGATAAAAATAAACATTAGAGTAAACCCTAAAGTCAGTAATGAGTTATACTTTATTTTCTGAACTTTAAATAGAAAAAAACGCAGAGACATGTAGTCGTGTAAGCGATACTGCCTGGTGCACTTTTTATTGAGTCGTAATGTTATTTTAATCACCAGTAAAATCCCAGAGCAAATGTGTATCTGCATCACACTCCATAACAAGAGAGGCAAGGGAAACCAGCTTTCTTTCTCCACCCCTCCCCACCCCTCCCCGCTTGATTAGAAAGTTTTTCTCCATCCAGGCTTCAGTGGAAGCATTTGCTACCTAAAAGCACTAGACTTTTTAAAATGCGATGTTTGAAATATTAAAGGTGGAAATAAACATATGGACAGGCCCCCAAATTCCAAGTTTGCTCAGCTTGACAAAACAGATAATAATGTGCCTTTTAAATATGTGAAAAGTAAGAGGATATTTGTTAAAAGCTATTTACTTCATTCAACAAACATTTACTATGTACAGGTCACTCAGGTGCTATTTGAAGGACATGACTGCACTATGGATAACATTTATTGAGGACATATATTGGCATACAGTAGCATGTCAGGTACTTCTTACTCTATTTGCCATATTTTATTTTAAAATAATAAGACGTGGTTTCTGTCCTGATGGAACTGCATCAAGGGCCAGGTTTAGGGTGAGGTGAAGAATGAAAGTTTAAAGCGATGCCAGAAATCTCAGTGATCAAGATAAGTCATATTTTACTACAATAGTTAAAATATCAAAATTGGAAGCAGCATAAATGTCCATCAACAGAGGAATGGATAAGGAAGATGTGGTACATATATACAATGGACTATTACCCATAAAAAAAGAATGACATTGTGCCATTTGCAGAGATGTGGATAGACCTAGAGAGTGTCATACAGAGTGAAATAAGTCGGAAAGAGAAAAACAAATTATTACAGGTTAATGCATACATGTGGAATCTAGAAAAATGATGTAGGTGAACTTATTTGCAAGACAGAAGAAATGGAGACACCTGAAGCCTAACAGCTCTATGCTAACTATGGAACACTTGGTGCTGATTCAGATAACGTTTGGAGGATTTACAGAATCTAGAGTATGTACTCCTGATTGGTGTTCTTTGCTTCCTAGTTAACTGCCTCTGGAGTAAGGGTTCTGGAGTAGGGTTCATGCTAACTCAGCAACCGGGGAGACTGACATTAACCTACATGCACATACGGAACACTGATTTTATTGAAGTCTCTCCCTTCACTTCTTTAACCAGGCAGCAACCTTAAACCCAAGTAGAACTCTGTTCTTTACAAGGTGCTGAATTGAAAGAGGGTAGGAGTCTCCAAGGGAGAAGGGCAGGGTTAACACTTGAGCTTGGGTGGACACCAGGGGCCCATCCAGGAGGAGTCAGGAAAAAAAGCAAAAAGGCCTGCACTGACTTTTGACTCCCACTAAGTGTTTTTAAATCAGTATTTCCCAATCTTCTTCAGGTTGTGGCACATACAGAGAAGGAAAAATTCATTAGATGTAATGGGGAAACACAGAAGACTCTTGAGAGTCCCTTGGACAGCAAGGAGATCCAACCAGTCAATCCTAAAGGAAATCAATCCTGAATAGTCATTGGAAGGACTGATGCTAAAGCTGAAGCTGCAATACTTAGGCTACCTGATTCAAAGAGTCAGCTCGTTGGAAAAGATCCTGATGCTGGGGAAAATTGAAGGTGGGAGAAGGGGACAACAGAGGACATAGTGGTTGGATGGCATTACTGACTCAATGGACATGGGTTTAAACCAACTCTGGGAGACGGTGAAGGACAGGGAAGCCTTGTGTGCTGCAGTCCATAGGGTCACAAAGAATCAGACACGACTTAGCAGCTGAACAATAGGGGTGCTGCTCCCTTTGTCTCCTTATCACATCAGTTCTTTTCAAAATAATTTCATGCCGGTTGCCTCTGTTTCTTCACCTTCAGACTCAGCAGGCTTTTAATCCCAGCCACGCCACAGAAACTGCTTTTGACGAGGTCATCGATACGCTCCTCACCAAATCCATTGGCCAATTCTTCATGTTTTTCTTGTTTGACCTCTCAGCAGTTTTTTAAACCCATTGATTACTCTGTCCTAGAAACACTCTTTTCTTGACTTTGGAGACAGACAACAGGTTGCTTCCTGCCTCTCTGGAAGCCAGCTTCTCCTCCCTGGCACTCCCTGTTTCTTTACTCCCTCCAGCCACGCCTGCCTTCTTTCTGTTTCTGACACATGCCAAATGCATTCCAGTTTGTCCAATGCCTTTGTACAAACTATTCTGCCTCCTTGGTTGCCACATGGAGAGTCCTGACCATCCAGTTCAAATATCACTATCTCAGAGAGTCTCTGAGCTCATGATCTAAAGTTATCCTCCACCTCATCTACTTCTATTATTGTTTAATATTTTCACAATTTGTCTTAAGTCCTTTTCTGTGAACTTGTTTACTATTTTTCTTTCTCCTCAAGACTGTGAACTCCTTAAGAGCAAACTCAATATCTGCCAAACTGAAGATACCTGTGAAGGACTTTCCTGGTGGCCCAGTGGTTAAGAATCTGCCTTCCAATGCAGGGGATGCAGGTTTGATCCCTGATCGGGGAACTAAGATCCCACAGGCTGTTAAGCCTGTGTTCACCCTAACTACTGAGCCTGTGAGCTCTGGAGCCCACAGACCACAGCTAGAGAAGTCTGGGTGCCTGCACCAAAAGACCCTGTGTGCTGCAGTGAAGACCTGACACAACCATATAAATAAATAAATATGAAGATACCAGTGTGACAGCTAGCCCCCAGGATGGCTTCCAGTTATCTTTGCCTCCTGGTACTCAGGCCCTTGTGTTTCCGGACTAACTTGTGTTAGTATGGGACTTTCTGCCTTGGCCTTTTGAGTGGCTTCCTTTGGGGGAAAGTAGCTGCCATGTTGTGAGGTCACTCAAGTAGCCACCCCATGGAGTAACACTGAAGCTTCTAACAACCAGCATCAGTTTGCTAGCCATATGAGTGAGTCATCTTAGAAGCAGATCCATAAGGCCCAGTCCAACCTTTGGTTGACTTCAGCCCGCCAGTATCTGACTACAACCTCGTCAGAGACCCATAAACCAAGCCAGAACTGCCCTGCCAAAAGAAAGGAAAGAAAGAAAGTGAAGTTGCTCAGTCGTGTCCGACTCTCTGTGACCCCATTGACGGTAGCCATCCATGGGATTTTCCAGGCAAGAATACTGGAGCGGGTTGCCATTTCCTTCTCCAGGGTATCTTCCCAACTCAGGGATTGAACCCAGGTCTCTCACATTGCAGGTAGACTCTTTACCATCTGAGCTACCAGGTCAATAGTCCTTTACCATCTGAGCCACCAGGTAAATAGTCAAGCCCCAAATCCCCCCAAAAAACAATGAGAGATAACAAATGAGTATTGTTAAAAGCCATTAAGTTTTGAGGTCGTTTTTTATGCAGCATTAGATAATTAATACAAATACCTATATTTTAGTTACTTGAGGAGGCTGCTCAACCTAGCAACTAAATTCCTGCTCCTCATTTAAGCAAATTTGACTTCACTGTGAATCCACAAAACATCACCAGCCTGTCAACAAGTGGTTATTGATCACAAGCTACATAGCAAACACTGCTAAAGCAGTTAGAGATGCAGAAATGAGCAAGTTATGACCCGGCTCTCATAGCTCTTGGTATAGTTTGGAAGACAAAAGCTCTTGATATAACTTAGGAGACAAATAAGAGCATGTGAAAAGGCAAGGACATAAAATAGAGATTTCAAGATGATGATTTCAGAGGAAAGCAATGGATCTCAGGATCTGCTGACCATGAGAACTTTTCATGGTAGAGATGGTGGGGTACCTGCATGAAAACATGGCCTAGATCTAGAATACTTGTGATTCTCAAATGTAAGAGTGCATCAGAACCACCTGGAGAGCTTGTTAAAAACTCAGATTTCTATTCCCAGAGCCTCTGATTGAGTTAGTCTGGGGTAGGGTCCACGAGTTTACATTTCTAACTAGTTCTCAGATGCTGCTGCTGATGCCCGTCCAGGGACCACACACTTTGAGAAGCCATATTCCTCTAGATACCTGCTACTCAAAGTGTGGTCCACACACCAGCAGCATCAGTATCTCCTGGGAGCTTGTTAGAAATATAGGTTCTCAGACCCCACCCCATTCCTACTGAATCCGAATCTGCAAGTTAACATGCTCCCCAGGTGTCTCGTGTGTACACTGAAGTTTAAGAAGCACTGCTGCAGAGAAAAGGTCATGTTCCCTTCAGCAAGCTGGGTGAGAGCTTTATTTGCTGAGCACATATGAGGTCGGGCATGGCCCATGTATATGAGAGAATTCTTCTCTACAGTCAGCCCATTTTGGTTTCATTGATTTTCTCAGGCAGACCCTTTTGTCACTCATTGATTTTTGCCGCAGCTGGAGTCTTCCTCATCAGTTCTCTGCAGATCATTTCAATTCATTTTTGAGTCATTTCCTCACCAGCTTGGCATTTCTCCCTTGGCACTAGGCAGTGCGGCTAATTGTGCTTGCCTGAGACTGACTGGTTGTGAT